GAACATGCACAACATGTATATTACCTATGATATTACCTGATATGTCTGATCCAGCGACTCCTGGTCCTTTCATCAGACGGGAATCGATAGAAGGAGCAAGTGGTATGATCACTTTTATGACTACAACCTGGTACAAAGCACACAGGCATCTTGTAAAAGTGAATTTATTTTTAGCGATCTATAATTTATTGGAGGGAATAAATCAGTTATGAGATCTTCTTCTTCTTCGCTCTAATTACGAGTCTTATTGTAAATCACCGAGCATGCCTGTGACATCACTTACGCGACCCAGAATGGGATTTGGGATTTGTAGTCTTTGTAGTAGCGTATTTTTCATAGTCTTATATTTCAGCAGTTTTACGACAAAATGTGACTTTTTTGACATGGAAATGATTGTTTAAGATTGACAAACATCATATGTGTAGTTCGTGGCACAATTCAAACGGGATCAAAAGATATGTGTTCTCTCTCCATTGAATTCAATGTAAATTTTTCGCTTCCGGGGTCCCATGGTCCGGAAGTAGATGGGCGTGACTTCGCCTCTCCATTGGAATGAATGGCGTAACCCTCGGAGCACACTCACAGAGCTTGAGGACTATCACGGGGTTTGTCAAACAGAGCACATTGTGTAGTCCTAAACGATAGCTGGGGATTCTGGATAGTGTAGTGTCTTCTGCCATCCTTTACTCCGAAAAAATATTTGTTTCTCCGAATTAAAGGGGAAAAATACAAAAGCATTGCACACAATTTAAACCAATCAATGTTGTGTAATTAACAAGGATAATCTGGTGTTTTTTAGTCGATGAGTAGTGCAGATATCACTGTAAAATCAATCGACAGTAAGAGGAATACTTACTTCCGGGTGTACAATTTTCCGTTATCCAATGAGAATGGACGCTCACATTGCCTTTAAGGGCAGCCGACACAAACGAATGCCGTGCTTCCATGAGCGTCATTACCAGTAGAAATACATTGCTTTTAAAATCGTGCTGTGCAACACGGAAAAAAAGGGGAAAATCGTGTTGGTGAACACGAATCAATAGATTAAAAATCGTGTTGGTGAACACGAAATGCCATGAGACTGGGTTGGACTGACAGTTGCCTGGCCGCAGCAGAGCTGCTCTGCAGTCAGAGCAGAGAGGAGACAACCACACTCCCCTATGGAGGACGGAACATGACTTAAGTATAAATAAATAAATGTATGAAGAAATACAGGAATAAATAAATTACGTACATAAATACAGGAATAAATAAATAAATACGTAAATAAATAAATAAATACAGGAATAAATAAATGACGAAATAAATACAGAAATAAATAAATGTTGAAATGAATACACAAATAAATAAATAAAAGAATAAATGCATAAATAAATATGGAAATAAATACATCAATGTATAAATAAATAAATGTCGAAAATAAAACAGAACACACGTTATTATTATATATCTTTCATTTATTTCTACATTTACGCGACATACATTTATTTATTTATGTATTTATGTGTCCGTATGCTAATGAGGTGGGCGGTCCTAACCTCAGTCTGAAGCAGGATTCGCCAATTGTTGGAGCCAGGCAGAAGCAATAGATTTGTGGCAAGTCACATCATGTCGAGCTGAGCCAAGTCCTCTATACATCGTTCCACACGAAACTGGACATAGTCTTTTGGTTCTCCGTTCTCTAAATGGTCCGCTAATGATCGTAAATGATCTCCAATGGCTCTTAAATCAATATCCATAAATAAACCTTACAACTGTGGATAAACCATGGATGTATAAAGATAAGGGCTAAACAGTAAAGCTCCTGCATTCGAATCAGCGCGGTTATCCAGGCGTTAGTAGTAGAGCCCTCTGCCAGAAATGATCACACACTCCTGTAACCAATCCTGCTTCAGACTGAGGTTAGGACCGCCCACCTCATTAGCATACGGACACATAAATACATAAATAAATAAATGTATGTTGCGTAAATGTAGAAATAAATGAAAGATATATAATAACGTGTGTTCTGTTTTATTTTCGACTTTTATTTATTTATTTATACATTGATGTATTTATTTCCATATTTATTTATGCATTTATTTATGCATTTATTCTTTTATTTATTTATTTGTGTATTCATTTCAACATTTATTTATTTCTGTATTTATTTCGTCATTTATTTATTCCTGTATTTATTTATTCCTGTATTTATTTATTTATTTACGTATTTATTTATTTATTCCTGTATTTCTTCATACATTTATTTATTTATACTTAAGTCATGTTCCGTCCTCCATACTCCCCCGCGTCGAGACGGCAAATGAATTGCGCATGCGCCAACTGCCAAGCCGTCCTGGTTTTGAGCGGGATTTAAATGTAAAATGTAAATGTTTCTTCACTCACTTTCACACTATAATAAATAACTGCCTTTGCTTTGCTTTGACTCACACAGCCTCAGTCACTCAATCACCTCGTCCACTGTGTGTGTGCCTCTCTGTGACAAGCTAAACATCTCTGTGACAAGCTAAACATCTCTGTGACAAGCTAAACATCATGATGCTTTCCTGGAGAAGTCCAGAATTTGATCCTTGAAGAGTTGGGAACGTTTTTTGTACTCCCCTCTACCATGCTCTCTCCTACAGCCGCCATTACATGATATGTAAATTAGGCGATGACGTCATTTAGCGACTTCTGGCGACTTTCCGGACAGCCAATAGCTACTTTCCTTACTATGGAGTTGGCAACACTGCATGGGTCATGGGCTGGCATTCCCCACACAAGCACCTTCAAAACAAAACGTTTATCAGGAAACCGTATTACATCTTTTTCCCCCCCTTCGCTGCTCTCCCCCCCCCCCCCCTCCTCCTTCCCTGCTCTCTCTCTCTCCATAACGTAGTGTGGAGTTGCATTAGGTAACGCGAGATACGGCTGATACTTGCGCATTAGTTTCTGTTATGGATCAGTATCAACAGTTCTGCCAGTAACGTTACTATATTATCAATGCTACTTTAGTTATAGCCTGATATATGATAGCTAACTTTACAATGTTGTGATGTGGCGTTAGCTAACATTCTGTAGCTAACGCCGGACACTCACCAAGATAGCTGCCCCTTCCCTGCTCTCTCTCTCCTCTCCGGTACAGCTCCGAAGGTAGTGTGGAGTTGCATTAGGTAACGCGAGATACGGCTGATACTTGAGCATTAGTTTCTGTTATGGATCAGTATCAACAGTCCTGCCAGTAACGTTACTATATTATCAATGCTACTTTAGTTATAGCCTGATATATGATAGCTAACTTCACAATGTTGTGATGTGACGTTAGCTAACATTCTGTAGCTAACGCCGGTCACTCACCAAGATAGCTGCCCAGTTCTCCACTGGTTCTCCTCACACCACAGCTCAATTTCTCTCCGATGGCCGTTATTTCTTCTAATCCTTGGATGCTCCTGGTCTCTTGGACGTCTTCTTTCACACACAGTGACGTCACAGCTACCCACAATGCAACGCGTGCCATATATTTTTTTATAAAGACACCATTTTTCTGGAGGTGCAAAAATCCTGGCAATGCTAATATAAACAGCTAGCTTATGTAGCCAGGCAGAGCGCACTAGGTTTTTTTTCTGAATTAACGACCGAAGAAATCGCTGCATGTCTTCGGATTACATCTCTGGACTTGAGGGGTGTACTCTAGGTCGTTACCAGCGTAAACTAGAGCTGTGTGGGTTGTTGGATGTACATTGTATGGAATTACGACCCTCAAAAGTGGCCTTCGGTCGATTTTGGCTGCATCTACGTCTATCTTCTGGAAACACCAGGTGAATACCCATACCACTTGTCACAATAATATTATCATGCCAATGCATATATGTGGTATTTTAGAGTTGACTATATTGATTAAGGCAATCGACTATGATATTCTGTATGCACCTCGTGTGAAATGGTTGATACCGGAAGTACGGTGTCGCCCTCGGCCCAAAACCCGTATGTGTGTGTGAAAGACTAGCAGGCTCATAATTATAAGGTTGTGGTCCGTCATATGCATTCGAATATTCATGTTCAACTTCTTCTGTGTCTTCTGTGTTGAAACTAGCATTGGGATCCATGTTTATTAATATGTTACACCGGCCGCTCTCCCCCTTGTTTACCCTTTGTTACGTCACACGCGGGAGGTCATGTGCCGAGGCTTTTATATGCGGAAGTGAACATTTCTTACAAAAACGACACCAGATGTCACTGTAGTGTATATTTCTGTATATTTTTTTGAAAATCTAGTGCATTCATCATTTTCCTACACATTTATTCACAGGTGTCTTTAACCTGGAAGTTGCTCTTTAAGTCTAAATCTGCTAACAGGTTATGGGCCCAGATGCGATGAATTATTCTACAGTTCGAAGCGCATGTGCGATAACAAGGCGAGAAGATTGCCTGTTAGCACGGTTAGCATAGGATTAGCTAGTTAGCCACATGTTAAGCTAGTTTAGCATCGGGAGAACCGAGGGAAGCTAAAGCTAAGCTAACGAGGACCTAAGCTAAGCTACTGAAGCTACAAACGAAAAAGCCATGGCGAATAGAACCACGAGGAAGAGCAAGTGGCCCACGTTTGACGGGAAAGCAGAAGAGTATGAGATCTGGGAAGAGAGGATGCTGTGTTGCATGCACGGAGTGGGATTGAAGGAGACCATCCTTCCAGCACCCGCTGGAGAGCTGACCGCGGCACTGAGGGCTCAAGACGACAAGCTCAATGCTGACGCCTATTGTGAGTTAGCGCCGCTACTTGACAATACCAGTTTAGGTCTGATATTCAGAGACACGAAGGACAAGGGCCGAGAAAGTCTCAGAATATTAAGGGAGCACTATATTGGAAAAGGCAAACCCAGGATCGTCACCTTGTATATAACCATGACTGCGCTGAAGAAAGCTGATAATGAGACGGTAACAGAGTACATTATCCGAGCTGAGCAGATCATTACGGCACTCAGGAGCGCGGGAGAAGCACCGAGTGAGGGACTAATGATGGCGATGGTTATGCAGGGATTACCCGAAAAATACAAGCCGTTCACTCTAATGGTGACACACGGTGACAGTGAAGTAACGTTGGGACAGTTCAAGGCGAAGTTGAGGAACTTCGAGGCCTCAGAAGATTCAGCCTCGAGACGAGCGAGAGGGTGCTGAGGGTCCAAGCAGCAACAAAGAGAAAGCCCGCCAAACGATTCATCCCCGATGGCGGCGGAGAACACGTCGGCACATGTTGGCGATGCGGAGAGAAAGGCCATCGAAAAGATGACTGCAGAAAGAAAGTCTGGTGTAGCTTTTGTAAAAGCAAGGGGCACACAGACAAAGCGTGCACAAAGAAGGACCGCGGTGATGCCGCTCGGTGCGCGAGCATGCCAGGTGGTACCGGAGAAGCTGCGGGAGGAGGTGACTACACCCTCAAAGTGCGAGCTGAAGAGACCAGCCTACAGAGACAACAACTACAGACCCACAGAAAACGATTGATCGTGGACAGGGGAGCGTCGTCTCACATCATCAACGATAAGAAGAAATTCAAGATTTTTGACAGCACCTTCAAGCCGGAGAGACACAGCATGGAATTGGCAGACGGGAGGCGCACCTTCGGGGTGGCGCACGGCAGAGGAGAAGCAGAGATGTGTCTGATAGACTGCGAGGGACGACGGTGTAAAGTGACTCTGAGGAACGCACTATACATCCCATCGTACCCCCAAGAACTCTTTTCCGTGAAGTCTGCTACAGCTAACGGAGCCAAGGTTTTCTTTGACGAAGGTAAAGATGCTCTGATGTTACCGGATGGTACCAGGTTTGACATTTATGTATGTAAGAAAATGTACTATTTGCAAACAGAGTGTGATGTTGAAGATAAGTGTCATGTCAGCCATGATATCCAAACGTGGCATGAGATTATGGGTCACTGTAATTATGAGGATGTGTTAAAGCTGCAGGATGTAACTGTTGGTATGCATATTAAGGGTACAAAGCGTAAGCCTGATAAAGATTGTACAGTATGCATAGAGGGAAAGTTTACCCAAACGAGAAACAGAGATCCGACCGATAAAGCAAACACACCACTTGAGTTGGTGAACACTGATCTAGCTGGTCCAGTTAATAACGAGTCCATAAATGGCTTCAAGTATATGCACTCATTTACAGATGTGTGTACAGGGGCAGTGTTTGTTTATTTCCTGAAAGCGAAGAGTGATGCAGTTCAAGCCACTGAGAAGTATCTGGCAGATGTAGCTCCCTATGGGACTGTGAAATGCATTAGATCAGATAATGTTCACTAGTAAGGAGTTTCAGACACTATTGAGAAAGAACAAGATCAGACATGAGACGTCTTGTCCTTATTCCCCACATCAAAATGGGACAGCTGAAAGAGAAGGGCGCACTCTTTTTGAAATGGCCAGATATATGCTTATTGACAGTGATCTGCCTAAAAACCTGTGGCACTATGCCAATCAGGAAGCAGCACATACCAGAAACCGGTGTTTTAATAAGCACACGGGCACTACGCCATATTCAGCACTGACAGGGAAAAAGTGTAACTTAGCTAGGATGCATAAGTTTGGAGCAGTGTGCTATGCGTACCAGCACGACAGGGGGAAATTAGATGCTAGGTGTGAGAAAGGACGTTTTGTAGGGCATGACAAGGGAAGCCCCGCCTATCTAGTTTACTACCCCGACAAAGAGAAGGTTCAGAAGCACAGACTAGTAAAGTTTATCACCAGCACAACTTGTGATAGCGAGACTCAGACACAGTGGTTAGAACAGGATTCGGAGGAAGACTGTGAAGAGGGAGTAAAGGCCCCACAGCCTAGTGTACTGAGCAAAGATGTACAAACTAACGCTCCACAGTCAGCACCAGAGGATGATGGCGAACAGCACCCTAGGGTGGCGTCACATGCCTCAGACAGTGGGAGATATGCAGTAGGGAGCGCAAACCCCCAGAGATTATACTCAGGAAGATAGTGATGAAGATGATAAAACACTCACTAGTATAGATTATTGTTACAGAGCAGTTTGCGGTGTACCTCTGACCTTTAAAGAGGCCATGACATCGACCGAGTCAGAAAACTGGGGAAAAGCGATGGATGAGGAAATTAAGTCTCTAGAAGACAATCAGACTTTTACCCTGACAAAATTGCCAGAGGGCAGGAAAACAGTGGGAGGTAAATGGGTTTATTCAGTTAAGGGAGACGTTGACGGACACGACAAGTACAAAGCTAGGTTCGTAGCGAAGGATACAGTCAGAGGGCGGGGATAGATTACGGGGAGACGTTCTCACCTACAGCCAACCTGACAAGTGTATTAATGCAGAAGGCAGCCCAAGAGGATTTGATTTTACACCAGATGGATGTAAAGACGGCCTGCCTGCATGCACCCATTGATCACGACATTTACATGGAACAACCTGAGGGTTATGTAAAAGAGGGAGGAAAGCTAGTGTGTAAGCTAGAGAAGTCAATTTACGGCCTGAAGCAGTCAGGGCGAAATTGGAATACGATGTTGCATGAATGCTTAACAGATGACAATTTTACACAGAACCCGGCAGACCACTGCGTGTACTCCAAGGAGTCTAAAGAGGGAAAAGTAATAATTGCTATCTGGGTCGATGATCTTATCATCGCAGCCAGCAACACCAAGATTTTAGAGAAAGTGAAAAACATGCTTTCCACAAAATTTAAAATGAAGGATTTAGGGAGATTAAATCATTTTCTGGGCATGGATTTCAGTCAGTCTGACGGCTGTGTGAAAGTATCACAAAAGAGATACGTGGAAAAGATACTGGAACGTTTTGACATGCAGGAGTGTAGAATAAGGGACACACCTTGTGACCAAAAGTTAGATTACACTGAAGATGCACCTAAAATGGTGGATGTGAAGAAATACAGAGAGGCTGTTGGCAGCCTAATTTATTTGACTACCTGTACACGTCCAGACCTATGTTTAGTGGTAAGCAAGTTATCACAATATTTTTGCTGAACCGACAGATGAACATTGGGTTACAGTAAAACACGTTTTGCGTTATCTCAGGGGTACTGCAGACAAACAGCTTTGTTTCAGAAAGAGCAGCGAGAAACTAGGCCTACAGGCTTATAGTGACGCTGATTGGGCGGCAGATAAAACAGATAGACGCAGTATGACAGGGTATTGTGAGCATGAGTAAGGACAGCTCACTAGTCTCTTGGAAAACCAAGAAACAGCCTACAGTAGCGCTTTCCACATGTGAAGCTGAGTATATGGCTCTAACAATACAGGAGTGTATTTACTTGGAGCAACTACTGGAAGGGATAGACACATACATGTATAAGAAAACAGTTGTAAACGAGGACAATCAGGGGACAATAGCCCTTGCTAAAAATCCTGTGTGTAGACAAAGGTGTAAACACGTGGATATTAAGTACCACTTCATTAGGTCCACCATAAGAAAGGGAAAGATGACACTGGTTTATTGTCCTACAGACGAAATGGTTGCAGATGTGATGACCAAGCCTGTATCCAAACTGAAGCTGAGGAAATTTGGAGGGATCATGTTTGGTGTGTAAAATGTGTGGAAGAAGCCCACATTTAAATCATTTGTACCATGTTTTTGTTTTGTTGATTAGATATGAACAGGTAAACAGTAAGCACATAATTCATAAGTGGGAGTGTTGAGATATAACATACAGACATGTATAGTGTATGACTCCATGTATTACTGTGTACCATATATTGTTTATGTAAGTAGCTGCGACTACTAACTGTGTTCATTGGTTAGGGCTGTACCACATGATTGTGATGTCACTACCTGGGGTATAAGACCGTTGGAAGTCACCCCACGCCCACTTCCGCATTACGCAAGGATCGACGTAGCTCTACGCGATAGCGTCATAGACTTCTTCTTCGGCAGTTATAGCGGTTGCGGTAAAGCAGGATATTGAATAGTTGTTTTTTGTCTTTCCAACGGATTTGTTAACTGAAAGTAAACGATCCTGTAATCAAAGCCATATCGAAGAGTCCTGAGATTGTATTACTGGTGTTTTATCATCTATAAATAGCCTGTGTGTATCCAGTGGCGTTTTCTCCCGGAGGCCAAGGGAAGCCAGGCTTCCCCTGTTTTTTCGGATTGTAGTTATCATTTAAATAAATAAATAAAAACACTTTGTTTTGTTTCGATAATTCTCCTTTGCTGTGTGTTGCTGCTGGCCCGTCTCTCCGTCTCTCCCCCATTCTCATTGAGTATTTTACAAAGAGTGAAACAAACAGCGCCCCTCTAGATGTTATGGTGAAACAGTAGATTGCACTCACTGTTGCGAGAGGAGGCCAGCCGAATCTGGCATCCCTTGGTGAAAAAAAATTGAGGGATTGACCAATCAGATGAGGCCCACGTGATGCCCGTGCCAACCTGTGATTGGTCAGGGCCATGCCAAGGGAAGCCAGCCGCCTCTTGCTTCCCTTCAGAGGCGGCTGGCGATTTGATTGGACACTGCCATCCAATCAAATCACATCAACATCAGTTTTAATACTGTAACTGTCATCACTGCCGTTAGAAATGATCAAGCAAATGAAGCATTATGGAGGGTGGAGATTTGGCGTACTTAATCAAACATAACTTTACTAAACTTCCGCTACAGCAGCAACTAAAAATTAAATCAGATGACAGGCCAATGCCCGCACTCGAGCAGAGTGCGGGCAGAGGAAAAAGGGAGAGAATCGGACGTTCAATGAGGACAATTATGTCCGCACGGAGTGGCTAACTGGAAGCGTTAAACTTCAGCGTCTATTTTGCTGGCCATGTCTTCTTTTTGACAAGGATTCGTGCTCCCTGAACAATCCTTGGGCAACTTCAGGATTCATCGACCTTGCCAACCTGTCACGGGCAATTGAGAGGCACGGTAAATCCAAAAATCACAGATTGTGTGATTGTCTGCATACATTAATAAGTAAAATGCTTAAATTAATAAGGAGAGAGTTTTAGTTGGAGAGTGCGTGCGGACCTTTCCGTTAGATAACAGGCGTGTGCAAGTCCTGCATCTGTGTGATACAAATGTGTGTAAAATGATACCGGGCGCTGTAATCACTCATCTGGTTACGTTATTGACCACCCCCCCACCAAAAAATGGGCTTCCCCTACATTTTTCCCCACGCCACACTACTGTGTGTATCCTCAAATGTCGTTTTCAGGACAAACAAAAGACGTTTTAAATATCTTATCAGCTGGTGTAAGTGCAGAATATTGAATATAACCTTGACTATTACTGTGTACTTCATTTATCTGACAGCATTATTTAATGATACTATTTTATATATATATATATATATATATATATATATATATTAGGGCTGTCAAACGATTAAAAATTTTAATCAGATTAATCACAGCTTAAAAATTAATTAATCATGATTAATCACCATTCGAACTATGTCCAAAATATGCCATTTATTTATGTATATTGTTGTGGGAATGGAAAGATAAATTAAAGAAGGCGGATATATCCATTTAACATACAGTATCTATGTTTATTATAACATTTTTCTGCGTGTCAAAATGAAAGACAACCCACACACCTATCAATCATCAAACCGTGGGGTCTTAATTCATTACGTGTTTTTTCTATCAACGTGGGAGTACTTCAAGAAAGTCGACAGAGGGGGGGGGGGGGGGGGGGCGGCGGCGGCTAGTGGAGTACTTCGTGACCACAGAGTGTGAACGTTGTGATCAGCTGTTTTAGCGCAGTTCTCCAGTGAAGGGGGGGAGTCTCCCTCCGCAGCCGGTTGGCGTAGTTTTG